AGGCGCAATACTAGGCGCTTCTATTAAATAATAGATTATATAAGCGTATCTCTGCTAGTTAAGAAGCTATAAGTCAAAACGTAAAAAAGCATACCCTACCCATCCGCCAGCCTAGGGGGTAGTGTAACAACGCTCTACAAACAGTGACCTAATGCTACTAGGATATAGTTCTAGCAACTTATGACTATGGCCCTTGTTGCATGGCATAAGCTTCTACTAAACTGCTACTAAACCCTTATATATAAGGATTAAGGAACTGTAGCATTAATAATAGAGTAGTTTTTCTATATCCTTTTGTACAAGACCTATAGGTGTAGAGAATATATCCTAGTGTTCTTATCATCCTAGCACTCCTATATGCCTCGTAGCGGACTCACACCTATTCCGGATATCTCTCTTCTTGCCTGCGTCGTTACACTCCTTATTTGTAAGGGTTTAGTGGCAGTTTGGTGCGAGCGTATGCCATGCGACAAGGGCCATGGTCATGAGTCGCTGGAACCGTATCCTAGTGGTACCGGGTCACTGTTCGTAGAGCGCTGTTACACCTCCACTGACACTACAATTAGCTCATATCTTAACAGGCGACAGGTAAGGACTCTGATTGCCCCAGCACTGAATACAGTATAAGTACAAGTTGTAATCTAGGCTTCTAAAGCAGAAAATTACGGAGTATAGTCTTAAGCCTAAGCACATAACGTAAAGCACCACCAAGCCAGACACACCACCAAGCTAGACACTTTTTCTTAGCACTGCAACTTTTCTATACAACACAATATGCAACAACACTATAAGCATATATTAACTTAGTAAGAAGGTAGAATTATTCTTGCGCTTTAGGCCTAACGTATTCCACCACCCAACAGCTCAAACCACCCAACAGCTCAAAATGTCTTGGCACAACGAACACCCTCTTTGTTGCAACATGCCTCAACCACATAACGCGTTACTACGTGAACACAAAGGTAGAGTTAACCTTGCCCTTAAAGCTCTTCATTTAAAACAATTTAAAAGCTAGAGAGCAGCTGCGCGCGCTTTTAATGTTAAATAACATATTCTCTCTGCACGCGTTAGAGGAGCCCTATTTATCCTTAAACAAGCACCTAACAGCTGCAAACTTACGCTTACAGAAGAGCAAACGATTGTCTAATATATCCTTAACCTAGATTCGCGAGGATTCGCGCCCTAGCTGTGCGAGGTAGCAGATATGGCTGATAAAGTGTTGGGTGTACGCGGTGGGCAGCCGGTTGGCAAGCACTGGGCTGAGCGCTTTGTAACGCGCTTAGCTGAGCTTAAGATGGCCTTCAATTGAGCTAAAGATAGGCAGAGGATACTGCAGGAGGATCTAGAGACAATTAGCGCGTGGTTTAAGCTGGTAGAGGACACTAGAGCCAAGTACAGCGTACACGACTACGACGTGCACAACTTTAACAAGACTAGCTTCTAGATAGGTGTTATTGGCTTAATAAAGGTTGTCACAGGCGCAGAGAGGCGTACTTAGCCTGAGCTTGTTCAGCCAGGTGATCGCGAATGGGTAACAGTCATCTAGAGTGTCTGCGCTGCTAGATCTTGTACCCTGCCTTTTATTATCTACAAAGGACGCGTTCACATCTCTGCCTGGTACAAGGAGGCAGATATACCGCGCAATTAGAAGCTCTTAGTCTCTTAGAACAGCTGGACGAACAATGCGCTTGGTCTAGAGTGGTTGAAGCACTTTAACGCGCATACAAAGGCGGGCTAGGTAGGGGCGTACAGGCTGCTCATTTTAGACGGCCATAAGAGCCACCTCAACCAGGATTTCAAGGACTACTGCCTTAAACATAAGATCCTTACCCTCTGCATGCTACCTTACTTGTCGCACATCCTCTAGCTGCTTGATGTGGTCTGCTTCTCGCTGTTGAAGCGCAAGTACTCTTAGCATATACAAGACTTGGCACGCAAGCACGTCTTCTACATTAACAAAGAAGGCTTCCTACCAGCCTTTAAAGACGCGTTTTGCAACGTGTTTACAGAGGCAATCTGTTGTAAGGCCTTTAAGGCATTAGGACTTGTCCCTCTTAACGCGCAGGTTGTATTAGATTGCCTTAAAGTGCAGCTGCGTACCCTGCCAGAACCCCTCCTCCTAGAGACGCTGTGGCAGTCAAAGACTCTAAGCAATACACATGAGTTTAGATTGCAATCAAAGCTTGTACGCAAGTCCTTTACACGTTCTCCTATTACTGCGCAGGCAGGCTTCTCTTAGCTTATTAGAGGCGGCGAGCTTATGCTGCATTAGAACGCGCTTCAAGCAGCCCGGATTACTGAGCTTGAAGAGCAATTAGCAGTGATGACCAAAAGGAAATCGCGCAAAAGGAAGCGGATCCAGCATGGCGGCACAATGGAGTATGGTGAGGCAGCAGCCCAGGTGGCCGCAGAGGCCTCTATAGCCGCTGAGCGGTCGAAGAAGGCTCGTCGTGGTGGTGATCAAGAGAGAGCCCAACCAGCTTTACGGCGCTGTGGGAACTGCAGCA